TTCCCAGGCTTAACATATTGATTCCCCTTCAAACTGACAAAAAGATGTAATATCATTCCGAAGCTTAGTGGTTTTTTAGGGTAGAAAATATTTAGCCAAAAATTTTTGTGATAGTTCTCCCCAAGTTCTAATAGATCCAGGTGCTAATGAATTTAACCAAACCTTGGCTTTATCCCTTAATGAAAAAGAAAAATTCTAAGCTTAACAGCATCATTAGACACTCCGTCATATTTAAATGTAGCACAAATCTCAGGAAAACTAGCAATATGTAAGTTAGGATCTTCAGTAGGTGATCCTCCAAACTGATTTTTCTATACCATTTGGATAATAGCAGGTTTAAGCTCAAGTGAATTAGCAGCAACATCAGGATTTTGAATAGTCAAGTGAAGTTCATCTGTTGTCAGATTCACATATTCTTTTAAAGGTTTTTATCGATTCTCATTTATTAGATTTTCTGAGTTATTTTTCATTTCTTTTAAATTTTTAATTTCCCTTTGTTGTCAAATGTTTTTAATAGTATGTTCTAACTCCGAATCTTAAGGTACTAAGCCTTCAGATCAAATATTTTGCATAAACAAATAAAGTAAGCCAAGTAAAATTCTTTAAAAAAAACAATCTTAAATAATTTTCTTTTTGAACTTTTGATTTTTTGTATATATATTTTTTTTCTTTTTATATATTTTTATAGTATAAATATTATCTCTAACTTTCCTAATTTATCAAAACTATTTTATTTACCAAAATTTAATCGTTACCATCCCCACGCAACGGTGCCAAAAACTTGATACCAATTTTTTATATATAAGTATTTATGAAGTTGACACCACTACAGCGTCAAAAACTTGATCCTTGTATGAAAAGTAAGTTGTGTAAAAAATATATAATTATAGATAATTAATAATGGGATTCTACGCAAGTATACATATTGTTATCAAGTAATAAAGGACTTTCTAATTAAGCCATAAATATCGATCCCACAGGGAAGGTGTAAATTGGCAATGTAAGTTTTACTAGGAAATTTATAAAAAATCAAACGAAATCACTGTCATTAATTTTGAATGTTGAGATGTTATCAAAACTAAAGTACTTAACTATTAGCAAAATAGAAATGCAAAGTTTAAAAAGTGAATACTAATCTACTAACTATGTTTATGTAATGAAGATTTCTTATGTGAAAAAGCATCCTTCTCACTACAATGAGATTCTGGTGAAATGAGATGAGATAAATGTTTGTAATATGTATTGTGCCAAATTGGAGCAATTATAATTCTCTACCCTGATACAATGCATAGAAAATCATTAGCTAATCCTAGGTTTAGTCCCTAAACATGTGGCTACGCTAGGAGGATACCAGCTCCCAATCCAAAGCTCCTACTTTCCTTCACCTGAAGGCTAACTCTCGCTTTAGTTTTTAAACAGTAAGATCAAATTACGGATTTTAGTTTATCACCCTAAAGATTCTCCAATTCTACACCCAACAAAGAATATTTCCCTATTTATTTGCACTTAATTCCATGAACGGATTTCCTCTCCATGAAATCAAATTTGATCCTCACTCTGTTGTAGAACTCATACACTCTGTCTCACTCTGTTGTAAAACTCATACTCCATTTCTCGGATCATATGTTTCACAACATATTTTAACAATTCAATTGGCCAGATCAAAATGTAATTTAAGTTCAGAGTTGAAAAATCATCACAATTTATTTTATATTTTACTATTGGCACATCATATTATCTTTTCATTTCACCCTACCTCAGAGTAGGGAGAAAGATAGAGGGAACTACTCATATTTCATGAGAAAGACAACAAAACAAAAATTTCATATATAAAAGAAAGTTTATACAAAACTAATAAACAAACAAAACTTATCTGAAACTATTTCTCAAAGCAAATCCCTTGTAGCCTTTCCTTAGAAAATCAGGAAGAAGTTATCTCTCACTTTTCTCCTTCTCCAACTCTCTTACAGAAAGTTTCACGTAGATATCTCTGACTTTTCTCCTTCTCCAACACTCTTAAAGAAAATTTCACACTAGATTTCAGCTGTTATGATATGGTGGTGGAATGAAGATGAATTATGAAGAATAGCAAAAATGGAGCATGGTGGAACGCTTTTGAGTGAAAAGGAGTCCATTTCCTGATGAATTTTGACCCCAAATAAAGCCCGAGGTCAGTTCTCCAATAGGTGCCTCCAAAAACTCTTCAAAAATCATCCAAATACATTGAACCTTTTAGAAATGGGGGCTAAACCACCTTTGGTGTCGTCGGCGCTGAGTAAAAATTTAGTTGTTCTTTTGTTTTGTGCCGTCGGCGCTGCCCTTGGCGTGGTCGGCATTGAGTACTTCTTCAAAAACATCATTTTGACTCCAAATTTTGTCCTTTTTTGTTTTGTTTTTACTTTAAGTCCTAAAAATCAACAACTTACAAGAAAACATCAAAATCTCTTCCACTAAGGTGCAATATCGCCAAAAATAAGTATAAAATATTGCTCTAAAAATGCATATATTTTTGGTATATCAAGGACACAAATTCATACTCGTGCTACTGATTACTTTTCCAAATGGCCAGAGGCAGTGCCGTTGCGAGAGGTTACGACAAAACACATCCTTCAATTTTTCAAAAGCCAATTTGTCTACCATTTCAGAGTTCTGTGCAGAATAATTTTTGACAATGGGACAGCCTTCAAGAGCACTAAATCAACAACTTCATCAGATGACATGGACTAGACTGGAGATACTCTACAATCTACTATCCCAAAGCAAATGTCCTGGTCGAGGCCTTCAACAAGACACTGGTATAGATTTTGAAGAAAACACTGGACGAAAACAAAAGGGATTGGCATAATAAACTGTTAGAAGCCTTGTAGGCCTACCGAACTAAGTTCAGGACTCCCACTAAATGTATACCCTACATGCTCGTATTTGGGTCTGAGGTCGTACTTCCGTTAGAAGTCCAAAAACCATCTCTCAGAGTCGTTATTACCAATCAAATTATAAAAGAAGAAAGTGCAAAACTCAGACTTGAATATTTGGAAAGTATCAAAAGAAAATGACTAGAAACACAATAGCACTTGGAGCTTTATCAAGTGAGGATGGTACAGGCTCATGAGAACTTGGTCCACCCAAGAACATTCAAAATTGGTGATCTCATACTTGTGCTCAAAAGGTTTATCCTTGCACGCCGCAAGATAGGTGGAAAATTTGAGCCAACTTAGGAAGGACCATTTATCGTAGAAAATGTCTATTCAAAAAAAGCCTACCAACTGGTGGATTTCTGAAGCGAAAGACCCATGTTGCTGGTAAATGGATGATACTTGAAGATATATTATGCAACTTGACATCGCTTGAATTGAAATTTTGAAATTTTGATTGTTCTGGGGTTATCTATTTGGCCAAACATCTGTGACCGGATCCAAAAATTTTATAATAAATTTTGTGACCGGATCCAAAAATTTTATAATAAAATTAACCTCAATAAAATAAAAATTTTGAATTTACATACTTCAATTTTCTTCTTTCTACTTTTAATTTTGATATTTTACTAAATTAAATAAAATATATACATAAATAAATGATCTTCTCAACAACATAAACTAAAATTTTGCCTAATAAACACTGTGTTTTGTTCTTTTTCCTGCTAAATTTTAGCACACTGATGTTTTTCCTGTCGTCTGTAGAGAAAATGTCAGGACGGGGGCTGATTTTTTCTCTCAAAGAGTTTTGTTCTTTTTCCTACTAAATTTCAGCACAATGATGCTTTTCCTATCGTCTGTAGAGAAAATGACAGGCTGGAGGCTATTTTTTTTTTCTTTCAAAGACGTTTGGAATCTCACACTTAACGAGGAAAGGGCACCACAGGGTGGCATCATAGACTTCGACATGGATTTCAGTCAAGTCGATGTAGACTATGAGGGTCCCCTGATGGATGTTGTTAGCCATCGAGACAAAGAAGGACTACCATCACTGTTGAAGGTCAACACTAAGGAAGATTTCTCATTGAAGGGGAAGAAAGTGATAATGCAACACGATCTGATGGAAGGGACTAGTCGTCTGCCATCTATGATAACTGCTTTGACTAGGGGCCTAGTCACTGCTGACGATGAGAGAGAGTTAGATGCACCTCTATGAAGGACGCAATGTAGAAATTCCAGTCATCAAAAACATAGAGCTTTCATGCGTGAAGAAAGAAGATGCCAAGAGGAAGCATAAAACTTGTTTGCCCCAATTCTTGAAGGGAAAATCTATGATCCATACATGAGAGAGACTTCCTCCAGTTTGCCTGCCGTAGAGGATGAGTCTGAGTTCACTCTCGGAGTCCCCCCCAGAGCCGACGATACCAGAGGTTCCAGATGAGCTTTGTCCAGGTTTCCCGACATGCAACGACAAGATTCCTACACAGATACCAGCTACGGGGGCATTTGTGGAATGCCTGGACTGCAATGTCCTCCATCTAGAGTGCAACAATACTCTGGAGGAGTACACATCCACCGATGATGGATTTTAGATTATCAATCACTTAATGGAGGAATCATATATTCTGCGATATTCCGTTGGATACAGAGACAGCACCAACATGGATTCCTACTTATATTGAAATGAGGGAGCATCCTCGACAGCCGCTGGTCGTCGCAATGGCAGAGTACTACAAAATGAGTAAAGTAAACCAAAGGGAATTTGAATTTTATGAAGAGGTTCAAGGAAGATTTGTTAAAATACTAGAGAGCTTGGAGCTGTACACCAGTCTTTTCTAAAAGCAAACAAAGAAGCATTCTTGATTGTATAATCAACCTAAGAGACAAAGGTCGAGTGGGACTTCTGATGGAAAGAACCTATTTTGAACCACAAAAATGGATGCATGGAAAAGGCAGAATCACCATACAATATGGTTGTTGTTATAATTTCACCAAAGAAAGACAAGGAAATCCCCCGGGGATTTTAAGACATGATAAAGTATATCTATTACCTCTTATGATAAAGTGAATGATCAAGTGGATGGTCTGATGGAGCATACTTCCAGCCGATGGATCATACTTCCAGCCGATTGCATTCCTAACAGTTGCATTATCAACATCTACGATGACGGTGATTGCGTTCCCCCGCATATAACCCATCATGTTTTCGTGAGACCTTTTTGCACGGTCCCCTTCATCAGTAACAATAATATCCTATTCGATAAAGAAATATATGTCATTGGCCCCGGCAAGTTCAGAGGATCTAAGGAGATTCCGCTATCGGTGGACTCTGTATTGATTCTTAAAGGAAATGGAGAAAACATAGCCAAAAACTGCATTCCAGGGGCACAACACCACAGGGTGTCTGTAACTTTCAGAAGGATGGATAGCAGCAAGATGCTATATGGATTCCAACCAGATCCAGAACTAAAAGAGCTACAACCTTACGAGCTATGAGAGGGTTGCACCTCTAAGCACATGCAAAGGGAACTCTTGTCTTGGAGTGTGGCATAGTAGGTCAGCTCAATCGGGAGCTCACTCCATCGAGGATAGAAAATCAGGGGATACTTTTTTGTACTACATTTTGACATAGCAGATATGATGATATATGTATCAGATATGCTCAGCTTATAATATGTACCCAACATGAGATATTTTCAGATGTACTCTAAATGTGTTCAGCATGTTGAACTTTTTTATGCTTCAACCTATTTTCAATTTATAACACCTGTTTAAAGCAGATCAATGAAATTTCTTGTTAATAATTCAGTTTGTTTGTTCAATTTCCCTTTTGTGCGATGGATAAAGAGCCACAGAACCATACGTTGGTTCTGAACTACAATGAACGAAGAACGAAACAATAAAAATTTGATAATAATAAAATACTCACCTTTGAGAGCCAACCAACAAAAATTGAATTTTGAAAACAACAAAAATTGCCAACCAACAAAAATTGAATTTTGAAAATATATTTTTGATAATTAAATGTGATAAAAATAACAAGAAAAGAAAATAAATCTATTGAGTTGATTTCTCTCGATTTTGAGGTCTCTCACTCTTTGCTCACACAGCACGACTGTTCTTGTATGCACTAATTCTCTTCACAATCCCTGCAGAATTTTAGATTATGTGCAAAATCTCACAAAATTTCATGAATTTTCCTCACCAATACCTATCCTCACATAACACATATCTATGAGTTCAACTCCATAAATTCTCTACACTATTTTCATATTGTTCTCGGTGACAGTACCGAGATGCTAATTCTTTTCCCACTACCCCCTTCAGGTTGGATATGAGTCCCAAAGCTTTCCTCCCTAATGCTACACATATATTTGAGATTGGAATAAGACCTCCTTAAAGAATGGAACTCAGCATTCGATTCTCTACACATATTTTTTAGATTGGAATAAGACCCCTTAAATGGAACACGACATCCGATTCTCTACAGATATTTTTGATATTGGAATAAGACTCCCTTAAATAGAACACGACATCCGATTCTCTACACATATTTTTGAGATTGGCATAAGACCCCCTTGAATGAAACACGACATCTGATTCTCTACACATATTTTCAAGATTGGTATAAGATCCCTTGAATGGAACACGACATCTAATTCTCTACACATATTTTTTAGATTGGTATAAGACCCCCTTGAATAGAACACGACATCTGATTCTCTACAAATATCTTCAAGATTGGTATAAGACCCACTTGAATAGAACACGACATCTGATTCTCTAGACATATCTTTCAGATTGGTGTAAGACCACCTTAAATGGAACATGGCATATGATTCTCTACACATATCTTAGAGATCGATGTAAGACCACCTTAAATGGAACATGGCATCCTATTCTCATTTTAGGATCAGTTCCTAAATTCTGATTCCTACCTTTTGAGCTCGGTACCTAAATTCTGACTCTCTTTCTGAGATTGATACCTAAATTTGAATTCTCATTTTAGGATCAGTACCTAAATTTTGATTCCTATCTTTTAAGGTCGATACCTAAATTCTGACTCCCTTTCTAAGATTGATACCTAATACACCTAAAATATATAGTATTTTTATACACATTTATATACCTATTTTTAAGATATTGCACTTTAAAGGAGTGAAAGGGGATCAAATTTGGAGCAAAAAGGAGAAAAATGTGCAAAAGAGTTTGGGCGCTTAAGCACCAGATCCGACGCTTAAGTGTCAGTTAAATATATAAGGCTGCGCCTAAGTGTCAGAGGCCCCGTGTTTAAGCGCCAGTGGCAGTTATTGGATGAGTAAATTTGGTTTCTGTGAATTTTAAAGAGGTTTTTAAGTCACTCATTGGCTTAATAGGTGGTTATAACCACCATGGACAAAAATTATGACTAAAGAAAGAATCTCTTGGGGAAATACATTGAATCTAAACATATTTTGAAGAGAAACCAAGGTACTATTAGGAAAATTATAAAAGAAAGAAGACTGGGCTTCAAAAGAGGTCCTGAAAGTATTGGAAAGTTTTGAAAGTTCTCATTTGGTGAGTTAGTTTGGAGAGATTTTCAGGCACCACTTTTACTTTTATTTTATCATTTTTGTTATTTTATTTTGAGTGATTGTAAAAAGAAGAGACTCAAAGGAACTTTAAGAGTTTAGTGGAGGACTTGAGATAAGTTTTTATCTTTCTGTTTTGAGACTACTTTTGGTTTTAATTGAGACTTATTGTTGGTTTCACAGTGATTTCTTCTTTTAAACTAAAGTGTGGTTTTATTTTATCCATGGATTCTAAGTAGTTTTCTTTATCTTTCTTCTTAAAATGATAAGTAATTAAGTTTTGGATGTAAGTTGTGGAAAGTATTGATCTTCAATGATGGAAGAAGTTGTCATGATTTAAATCCATGCACTTCATTTACTTTTTGATTTGCCCAATCTAGATGTTAAAATTTGTTGTGAGAACATGTAAGAAGATATTCATGTCTTAATCAAAAAGTCTTATATTACTTGATAACAATATGTATACTTGCGTAGTATCCCAATATATATAAATTAAAAGTTAAATTCTTATTTTTCTTCAGGATCAAATTTTTGGTTTTGTTGCAAAGTAAGTAAATATAAATGAAATATAATCTGAATTATTGTTGTACTTTACATATTAGCAGTATCCAGAGATCAAGTTTTTGGCGTCGTTGTCAGGGAGAAATTGATTTTAAAAGTAAATTTCTATGTTTAGAAAGTCTTATTTAAACTTTAAGTTATCTTAACTTATTTTATTTTTTTTTAATTTATTTTATTATATATTAGTGAATGCGTAATTCACATTCTGAAGGACTAGTGCCCTACAATTCTGAATTAGAAAGAACTTTAGAAAAATCAGAAAAATCAAAAAAATTATAAATTTTGAAAATCCAAAAAAATTACAGAAATGGCTGACTAAAATAATCAAAATGTTGAACTTCATCAAGAGTTTAGACCTTTAAGAGATTATGTCAACCCTATATTATAGATGAACTTCATTGTAGTATTCAAAAACCTACTATAGTGGCTAATTCATTTGAGCTTAAACCTGTTATTATCCAAATGGTATCAAATAATTAGTTTGGGGGATCACCAACTAAAGATTCAAATTTACTTCTTGCCAATTTTCTAGAATTGTGTGCTGCATTTAAATATGATAGTGCATCAGATGATGCGATAAGACTTAGGTTATTTCCTTTCTCACTGAGGAATAAAGCTAGGAATAAAGCTAAGATGTGTTATTTTCTTTCTCACTGAGGGATAAAGCTAAGATGTGGTTGAATTGATTAGCACCTAGATCTTTCAGTTCTTAGGGTGATTTAGCACAAAAATTCCTTGTTAAATATTTTCCACCATAAAAAACTGCAAAGCTTAGAAATGATATTACATCTTTTAATCAGTTTGAAGGGGAATCTATTTAGAAAGCACGGGAGAGATTTAAAGAACTCTTAAGAAAGTGACCACACCAAGCAATACCAGATTGGTTAATAATTCAAACTTTTTATAATGGATTAGTTGGATCTCTTAGACCAACTATCGATTTCGTTACTGGTGGTTCATTGATGTCAAAACAACTTCATGACGCTTATGCTTTAATTAAATAAATGGCTACTAATAATTTTCAATGGCCTTCTGAGAGGGTAAATCCTAAGAAAGTAGTCAATAAATCAAGTTGTTGCAATTTCAAGGAAGTTAGACCAATTTGGAATGAATTTTTCTTAACCAATTTCCATGATTGAAGAGAATTCATTAAGCTAAATGGTAGATTCTCAAGCATCATTAGAAACTTTGAATGCCACAAATAATAAACAGAATAACCCATATTCAAATTATTGTAACACAGGTTGGAAGAACCATCCCAACTTTAACTAGAAAAACAATTTGGTGGTAATAATCAACAATGGGGGGACAACCAAGGAAACCCATTGGGAAATTGGAACAACTAAAGGAATAATAATTATAGATCTACTTTTCCTCCATATTTCAACAATAATACATAGTTTAAGGAGAAGAAGTTGTCTATAGAAGAAGTGGTGTTACAAATGTGTTACAAGTGGTGTTACAAATGAGAAATCAATTACGAAGTCAAGGAGCTACAATTAGAAATATTGAGAATCAACTTTGGCAAATAAAAAATTCATTAAGTAATATGTCCCAGAAGAACACTTTCTAGTAATACTGAATCAAATCCAAAAGACTAGAATAAAGAGCAAGTAAAAGCCATTCAACTTTAAAGCAGAAGAGAGTTGGAAGGTAGGGTTCAAAAAGTAATTGAAGTAGAGAGAGAAGAAATTGAAGTATCAAAAGAGGACGCTCCAAAAGATTCTGAGAGACCTATTTCTCCATTATAAATTGATTTGTAAAAACCACCACCACCATTTCCTCAAAGACTTTGTCAACAAAAGTTGGATAAATAATTTTCAAAATTTCTGGAAATATTTAAGAAGCTTACAATAATATTCCACTTGCTGAAGCCTTAGAACAAATGCCAAGCTATGTAAAGTTTATGAAGGATATTCTCAACAAGAAAATGAAGTTTGAAGATAATGAGAATGTTGCACTTATTGAGGAGTGTAGTGCGAACTTCCTGAAAAGCTTAAACATCCTGGTAGCTCTACAATTCCATGTGCAATAGGAGATAGATTTTATGGGAAAGCTTTATGTGATTTGGGTGTAAGCAGTAACCTTATGCCATTATCAATATTTAAAAGATTGGGATTAGGAAATATAACCGCTACTATTGTAACTCTGCAGTTAGCAGATTGTTCAATAACCTATCCTAAAGGAGTATAGAAGATGTCCTAGTGAAAGTGGATCAATTTATCTTTCCTGTTGATTTCATTGTGCTAGATATGGAGGAAAATAAAGAGATCCTATCATTTTGGGGAGACCTTTCCTAGCCACAGGAAGAGAAATGATAGATGTGCAGAAAGGAGAATTAACAATGCATGTCAATGATCAAAC